ACATGTTTCGCTTAAGCCTTGCACAGACGATGGGCATATTGTCTGTGGATAATTTTTTCCATAACATAAGCCAATATTTGTTCAATACGTGTGCATTGTGCTAGCAAATAGGGCTTTTGTTTTGTCTATGCAATCAATTGCATAACAAACCTTTTTTATTACGAAATGAAAATATTATGAAAATCGAACATTTGCGCTGTCATTTTCTTTTGTCTATAACACGTATATTTATATTTCCAAGATTCCACAATAAACACCGTCCTACGCTACATCATGTCGTCTTCAATATTTCTCTACCAAACACTGACCAGATTAAAATATATGATTTCATTTGATGATGATATCAGCCGTTAACGGTTTACTGCCGAACATAGGCCTCCCCCTTAGGGGGATTTGCCAGTAGTTGCCACGCACAGCAGGTACGTGGGCAACCGCAGTTCAGCTTTGATGATATTTTAAGAGGGACGCTAATGCTCATCCCTCGACCAATTAGTTCCCTTAGTTGCTCCTTAAGACATTCACGGGAAAGGAAGGGCTGGCCTAATTTCTCCGGTACAATCTATGTCAGGACCACACAGCCGCAGTTTTATTTATTTAATAGAAAAACGAGACCAAGAGTAATTTTGGTCGAGGATAAAATGTCACCTGTCTATCCAAGCCATTAACGTTTCTTTGTCAACGTCCTTACATTCAGATCTTTGACGTATATGTTTATTGTAATGAATGACTGAATATACTTCTACAAATGACTTATCATTTTTAAAAATTAATCAATCCGTTTACTCTACACTGTGGACAATACTGGTTAGATTACACGCCGCCAATAAACACCAGCAAAAACAGAGGAATTGCAGTGTGTGCTGTGACGGCCTTTTAAAACACTAACAAGCTTTTACAATATTATTTTGTATCGTCGTCATCATATCAATCCTTAACAATCCACTGCTGAACTTAGGCTTCCTCTATTAAGGGATTTTGCCAGTAGTTGCCACGCTTGGCAGGTGGGCTAGCAACCGCAATTAGACTTTGATGTTTTAAGAGGGACGCTGCTGTCCATCCCTAGACTATTACGTTCCCTTAGTCGTCTCTTACAACACCCACAAAAAGGAAGGGGTGGCTCACCGCAGCTATTTTATATTTCATCACCATCACGTCAGCCTTTAACTGTCCACTGCTGAACATAAGCCTCCCCCTTGGAGGCGGGAGGGGGAGTTTGATAGGAGGACTGGCAACCGCAGTAAGGCTTTGGAGACGTTTTAAGAAGAACGCTGCTGCCTATCCATTGCCCTCCCTTAGTCGCCTACTATAAAACCCACGGGAAAGGAAGTGGTAACCTATCCTATGCCGAGACCACACGGGCATTTTGTATATAATTTGTATAATATATGTAATCTGTTTACCGCGGCACTGCCCGCGTGAATCGGTATATAAAATATCCTATGAGTTAAAATATGATATATAACAACCTACCTTCATAAAGTTTCAGACAATTAAACTAATCGGTTACTTCATAGCATTTTATATGCGATTCTTTAGATTGATACAAGTTTTTTATTTATGTATCGATTGAAATAAAACAAACATTAAATGTTAAGTGGAGCAAATCGCAACGCCTTAATAAAAATCACATTCAAATCGGTTGAGCCGTTTCTGAGATTAGCGCGCACAAACGTATGTCTGTACGTACAAACAGGCATAATTGTAAAAATCTGTTTTGGGTTCTATCGCGTTCATAAAGCCCCCCTATAATAGTTTTTCTTATATATCTTTCATGTACAATGGCAACAATCGTGTACTCATTCAGAGGACTATTTACAGTCTCCACATAGGATATAGATATGTCACATTCACTAGCATAACATAATATAACTGTTACTTTTATTACTAATACAGTATTATTATTAAATCAAAAATTGTCTGTGATTTTTAACCGACTGAATAGGAATGGAATAGATTCTCAATTCGGTTTTTTTGTTAGTTACGTCATAATTCCGTTATTAATAAACCAATTCGTAAAATCTTTTTCTTTACCTGAAAGAATATATTTTCGGAATGGTCTTATAGAAATTTCATCGATATCGATTCAGTAGTTTGGTTTTTAAATCAAAATAACTGGTTTCGCCGCGATTGAAGGTCGATTTTTATAAACAACATCTATTATATTACTAGTGTATGTATATGCTTTTATTAAATACAGATTTGCAACTTAAATGTCTCATAATTTAATGTCTAAATACACATGGCCACAATTTTTACATAGTGATAACATCTAGGATAATTCATACAAAGTTGTAATTGTTGCACATGTAATTATAATTCTATTAGTAATTATCATATATTAATACAACATCACCGTGTGGTCCCGGCATAGGATGGGCCACCCCTTCCTTTCTTGTGGGCGTCGTAAGAGGCGACTATGAAAACTTAATGGTCGAAAGATGAACTTAAAAAGTAACCAAATCCCAACTGCGGTCGTCCACCCCCTACTAAGAGCGGCAACTACTGACAAAGCCCCCCAATAGGGAGAACCCTTTGTTCAGCAGTGGACAGTTAGCGGCTAATACTGTTGAAAGTTAAATTAATCATTCAACTTTCAACAGTATTATATTATTAAACGTCAATCATGCTGATGATGGTATAAAAACCTAATATAATGTATTGCAAATTTAATTGGTAACTATCTAATTAATTTGGCACGTTCGCCTAAACTATGTCCAATTAATAAAACAATAACAGCCTATCATGATCAATTATGCGGTAGTACCTACGCACGATAATAAAGGCACGCAGCAAGATAAAATATTATATACGACTATTAAGGAAAATTATTAAATTACTATACAATTATATTTTATTTTTGTAACTACTTAGTAAAATAAAGTAAATAAATATGTGATACATTCTATTACATGATTTTGAAGCAACCATTTTAGATCCCGTTTTAAATGCACATTCTTAATTTATCAGTCAAGTGAACACAACGGGTGAACTGACTCGCCTTCATCCTCACCTAACCTACCCCTCACTGAGGGGAGGGGGAAGGTATTGTTATTAATGCGGATTATCAGTCCCATTACTAACAATATACCCTAACAGGTCGAACTCGGGGGGAAAGGGACTGTTAGTAATGGGGTCTACCTGACTCATTGCCAGCAATACACCCTATCAGGTCGACCTCCACGTCGTTCCCCCTGGAAACCATCATAGTTAATTCTAGTGGAATTCGTCATGATGGGCTAACTGACCTGCTTTCATTGTCACCCTCACTGGTAACCCGCCAACGTATACCGGTAGCGTGGGCGGGGTTACCATTCCATTATCAGCCATTAAAAAAACAGGTCAACCTCTCCGTGCTGAACTCTAAGCGTATTCATCACGATGGGCTAATTGACCTGCCTTTTCATCCTCACCTATCATCTTTCATTGATGCCCCGCCAGCGTATACCGCTAGCGAAGACGGGGTTAGCATTCCATTATCATTAATTAAAAAAAAAACAATATATCCTATCAGGTCGGCCTCCACGTAGTTCCACCTGGAAACCATCGTGGCTAATTCATGTTGAATTAATCGCGATGGGTTAACTGACCTGCCTTCATCCTCACTTCATCACTCATTGGTGTCCCGCCAGTGTATACCGATAGCACAGGCGGGGTTACCATTTAAAAAAACCCTCACTGATACCCTGTTAGCGTAACCAAACGAGAAACAGAATTACCATGCCATTTTCAAACACAGAAAAAGACCTATTACCAGGTTAGCCAGATGTATCAGTACTATTGTATTTCCAGATTTTCCTTCTCTTGTACTAGTATATTATGCTGTTTTGCCAGTCACCTCTTACGTCACCCTGAGCACAGACTGAGGACGGAAAAGAGTGTTAACACATTGTATCCTTATTCCGCCACTCTAAACACGTCTGTTAAAAACAGTCGCATAAAATAACGGCACTATATGTGTTATCTTGGAAATAGTCATTAATTAGAAAGTAGCAGGCTAACCTACACGGGTCATGAGGTCTAATAACGCGAATATAATATGCTAATTTTGATATTATGGCCAGAAAACACACGTTGCTTTTAGCATGGATAACTACAAGTTTTTGGATGCTCGACGCCTCGTCTAAACGCTTCAAGTTCTGTATATTGCGAACATACATACTCTAATAGCGGCTATAGTATCTTTTTACTAGTAGCTAATTTTTGCAGAGCAAAATTTTAAACAGTGTTATAATAATGAACTATCATAAACATCAACCTAATCACATAGTTGCTAAAGCTGCAATAAATAAATCAATTATCTTATTGAGGGGCACAATTACGAGACACAAAGTAATAAATATGTATGACAATAGACACAATTAAACGATAACGGCGGTTAGAGACAATTAATTAATCAATAACAATAGAATTCTTGATATAATTTTATCAAACAAAGTTTGTTTATATTTAATAAACCTCTTACGTGCGTATTACCATAGATTAGGTTTTAACATAAAGCGTTTTCGCATGAAGTCCTTTATGGGGACAAACATCTGCACCAATTTCAGGCAAATATGAATAGGCTATTCGTAGGTCCGTGAGCTCTATCTTAGACTACATCAACGCTTTGCATTAAATGAGATTGTGCTCAATCACGGGACCTTTCAATAGTAAAAAAATGGGCAGAAAGTATCAAATGCCAAACATCTCTATCTTCACATCTACAGTATATTTACAGACATTCAGGCACACTTTGAGAATCCATTCAAATGTACGATTGGCGGTAACACTGGGAATAATTTCTAATTATTATATATTTCCATAAATAATAGTATATGGGCCAATTTTACAATTTCATTCACAGACTAAAGATAACTTTAAACTAAATAACTGATAACTTTAAAAAAAGATATTTTGTTGTAGCATTTTGCAAACCTTGCTTCAAATATTTTAATATTTAAGATTTTCATAACTCTAGGCAACAGTTATATTAGAAATACTAACATAATTATTTTACTTACCAAATTTCCATTAATCCCGTTCTCAACTAAAATGTCCTCGAACAAGACATCAGCTTCACAAGGAGAACATAAATTACTGAGGAGTTCACTGAACCTTTCTACTTTACGTACACACACTGCTCCCAATAATCCTCCGACTTCCTGACTTTTCACTAATTTTGGCACTACTTCACCACTATCCTCAACATTCACAACATTAACAACTTTATTCAACGAGGCTGCTTCTTGTAGAACAGGAATGTTTGAATCTTTGTGACTATAATTGAGCACTAGTTTATCATCATTAACTTTCTTCTGCGATGTCACTTCAACGAGGTCATTAAATAAGTCATCTATATTATCCTTTTCCAAATTTTCAGAAACGCTTGGATAACCTAGTAAGTCATTAAAAATTTGTTCTTCGTTTACTTTTAGAGGGGCTTCATTTTTCTCTCCATTTTTTAAACTATCTAATTTCTTTTTTTCTACTAAGGAATTACTATTATTTCTTTCTTCTAATTTGGAACTGGAACTAATTTTATCACCGACATTCTTTCCTTTAGGGCTACTCACTAAATAATTACGTTTGTCTTTTTCTAAAATAGTTTTATTAGTGGAATGTTTAGATTTCGTTTTAATAGCACCAATATCTTTATCAGAGTAACCCGCCGGCAGTGTACTCTTCAAATTTTCTTTTTCGTTACTTTGTCTTTTATTTATGCTCGATCGTTTGTCTCTATCTACTATCTTAGAGATTTTAGTTAATTTATTCTTGCCTTCTTCTGACAATGATTGAACTGAGGCGCTTCTATTAGATTTTCTAGATGATGGAGAAGAATCGGAATGCGCTGAGGCAGCGGCTCTTAAGCGTGATGTTCTAGTTGTTCTAATAGGGACTGATGCTGAAGCGGTGTTAAGATTCAGTTCTGAGGAAGACTTAAGATGATCAGCGGTATCATCAGACTGGCACCGGTCAGCTGCTTTTCTCGGGCGTCTGAAATTTAAAAAAATATATACTCAGTACCACACCTATACGTTAAACCTGTTTATAAAACACGTTACATAGTGTAAAACATCTTTAACTAACCGTATGTAAATAACCAAGTCTTAGATATGGTAAAACAAGTTAACATTTCTACTGGCTACTATTAAATGGTTTCTTACAAAAAGAAAATATCAGAAGACTAGCTGCGCCAGCGACTTCGTCCATGTATTTATAAATGTAACCTATATGTAAAATGTATGTTCTTCTCTATGCCAATTATTACGTATATGCAAAATTTCATAATGGTTATTAGCGCTAAGACGTAACAACAAACAAACTCCATCTCACAATTTTATAATATTTATAAGAATATCAAACGGTCAACATAATTAATTTAAGTTTGTAATTAAATTCCTAATATATTACGTTTATATGTAATTTTTAGTCATATTATTAAAATGTGTATAGAAAAAAAACGCACCTTTCAGTAACATTAGCAGAGAATAGCGTCGCTGTCCTAGCTGTGAGTTGTTTTCTTCTTTCTTCCTTATACTTTTGTATCCTGGCCGCTCTGGCCTCATCTTGCGACTGACTCATCGCGTCCCCTTTCTTCCGATGTCGTCACAAGCGCCACCACTCCACTACCTTGCACGGTTCTTCAGTGTTTTTGATAAAGTTAGATTGAATTGTGTCTAGCATGGCTACATTAAGGGCGCTGGAGGGCGGAATTTGTGTTGGCAGTGAAGATGCAAAGGCAGATGCTGATAGAACGATTAAAACCTGAAAATAAAAAAAGATAAACGTTAAAAATAATTATATTAACATTTATATAATATAACCAATGGCATCCTTCTTGCATTGTCACTTCTAAGAACAAATGTGTTATACATGGTTAAATGAGTACCATATCCCACTGTTCAAATTGAAACAAAACAGTCATGATAAAACAGCTGCTTGACAGCAATAACAGTGACCGTTTACAATCAGACGGGCTATATGCTTGATTGCCACCTTTGTGGTATAAAAAAACACGAGTGGGACAACATTTTTTTAAGTTTAAAAAACACAAATAATAATTCTTCTCTAATTACCACAATTTTAAATCTATAAAATAACAACACTTACAACATTATTTATCATAACAGGGAAGTTAACAATTAAAATTGAACAAATAAAACGTAATCTCATATGTCTCCGCTGTAATGGAAAACAACCTAGCAAGCACGTCGCTAATGTTTACTTACGCCTAGCCAGATGAGTAATGAGATTGCATTGGATCACCACTGAAGGCGAGGGGCAAAATCGTCCCTAAACAATGATGTTTGAATTTATTGTGAACCGGGGAAGCTGTACTGTTTGCAACGAAATAACACCTTTTGTTCTATTGTAAGGTATGAGAATATTACAACAGTTGATTGTCCTGAACGCGAACATCATGCGATTTACGTCATTATGCAACGATTGAGAAATCCATTCTAGTGAGTATATGTAACACGCGATTGGATTTATCATACATAGTAAAGATATAATTACTTATGAGACTATTTTAATATTTCACGGAACTATGTTAAGTAGAACTGACGACATAATTGTTATACAACCCGGGACAATATATAGAATAATTTTAAAATTGTGTTCCACGAAACAAATACGACTTCAATTGTGGCAAAACCAGTTATTTTAATTTAAATACTAAACTGTTGAATTTATTTTGATAAAATTTTTATGGGGCCAATCTGTAAGATAAAAAAAAATCTATTTACAACTTTGGTTTCCTTTCAAATTTTTGTAATAAAAAAAAAAAATCTAAGTAACTTAAAGAAAAAAAAAAACAATTGAATAAGAACCTCCTTCTTATTGAACCCAGTTAAAAACAACATAATCCTTGCCATGCTAACTGGCAGGCATGACAACTGCAATAAGCTGATGACGTCTGTACACACGCAAATGAGTATAATCTATGAATATAAAGAATAATTTTTTTTTTTTAAGGTAATCAATCATATTTAAAAAAAAATGAAAAAAAAAAACAAACATTTGAATAAGAACCTCTGTCTAATAATTGAAATTCTATTGGAAAACAAAATTCAATCCTTATATTTCCATGTATTTTCTAACCCACAGGATATGTTATACAAATCAACCTTTTGGCTCTCATGTATAGTTTATTATGACAAATAGGTAACTGGGATCAATTGCTGATGAATGCGTCTGAACACACGGAAAAGTGAGACTTATTTGATATCGATTATGAATATAATTTAGAAATTTAATAAAACGTCATTTTTTTGATATCATTAAGTAATCATCATCATAAAATAGTTGAATTAAAAAAAACCAAGACACGTATTCATCAACATATAATAAAATTATACAACAATTCAAACGATACAAAGAATCGATTATTAACAACTCGATTATTGGAACAATGTCATCTCAGATCAATTGAATAACAGACAGACATCCTATTATCCTATGAATGTTATAAATAAAAAGAACTCTAAAAAGATGTTTCAATGTTTGTTTTACTTATACACTCTTAAACATCTAGACGTATTTGAATTAAATTCGCTTCTTCCAAGTACAAATTTAGACACATCATGTCACACAACCAGACATCTTGCCAGTTTCTCTAAACTACATTTTAATGTAATGTAATTTTTCCAGAAGAAAACTAGTTCCAAAAATAAGAATCTTAAAAAATTACAATAGTATGTCCATTAAATTCAGGGCAGTGTTTAAACCAATATAAAAAATAAAAAAGATCTTAATTAGCAAGTATATTTTAGCTGTATAAAAGAGACGCCGTTAAAGCTAAGTGCGGCATTGGATACTACAATGAAAGCAAATCAGTATCTCTGGAAGCCAGTGTTGCCATATAAACGATTGTAAGTTATTTGATAGTGTTTATCTAGCATAATGTAAATGTCGTTAAATAATTAATAGACACGATCGAATCAATCGATAGCATTGACACAATCAATCGAATCGATAGTATATCGATACTATCAACTGACAAAGTTTTACGCGATATAATTGACTATGACTAAATCTACGCAATACTATTTATTGATAATATTGATGATAGCAATAGCTAGTTCAAAACAAACACAAGCGATTAATTTATAAATTATCAATAGTATTGTTTCAGCATCAATCATTCTTACTATTGATTAGTCGACTAACTGTTAACAAAAGATTATATAATACCAATAGTTTACATAGTCGATTATTACATTATTTGTAGCTCCAGTCGAACTATCGATTAATAATCAATACCCAACGATTATCATAAGGCAACACTAACGTTAGCCAGCGAGTCGTTAATTACATTAATAGGATGGTTGAGCAACCCGGCATGTTCACAGCCGATCGCGAATCTCCCATTCAACTGTAATTGCTGACTATTTAATTGCAATAATCAAATAAGTCTGATGGTAGTCAGATAGTTAAGAAATCAGTTACTGTAACGAAGTACAGCACATGCTAATAATAACTGTGTATTTAAAAAAAAAATATTTAAAAAGGCTCATTATATCCAACAATTTTACTTTAAACGTTACCATTAACTTACACGTAACTTTACCATTTAATACAAAAATAAGTAGTTGTTTTTGAAAATTGTATAATAATTGGGTGCAAACGGGGTTGGTTTACCAACCTGCTTCCACACAATACTATAACTGTTGTATGTCAAAGATAAACATAGCGGTGGAAAGAAATAATTATCTAAGAATTCGGAAAATGAAGCGAAATGATTACTTAATTCACCCTGATTGGAGTGGGGAGGAGGAATCCTCCCCTCTCCAATCACCTGTCTACGTGTTTAAATTCGATGCAGACGAAATCGCGGTCACAGCTTGTTGGAAAACAAGAACAGAAGCAGGCTTCCGATTCGCATTCCTTGTCCTCAATGTGGACTGTATATCAATATGCCCCCAACAAGCGAGCGAAGGCTATAAAACCAGCTAAGATCATTTCACACAAACTTTAACAAGGTTCCGTAAGTATTCTTTATTGTACACAAACATATTGTTAAGAACAATTAATTTTAAACATAATGTACAAAGGCGAGCTTATCTCTAATAAGTATATTTAAAAAAAAAAAAGCTTTCAGAACAAGCACTTAAAAAAAGCAGCTATCGAGCCAACTATATTTTTTTGTTTGAATATTATGCGATATCTTTATGTTTAATAGTGTGTTTGTATTCATACTTATTTCCTTGCAGAAAACGTTTACTCTTATACTCATTACACAGATAAATAAAAAGCCTAAAAGATAAAAAAATAGACTATTCAGTTATATGGTACTAAGTGACAAAGAGGCACGAAGAAAAATTACGTTTCGAGCATTTAGTTGCTGAACTCTAAAAATACAAACAAATACATGTTCCGAATCCGCGACTTTCACCACAATAGTAGTAGTGTCACAATAGCCAGCGTGCGACATTTAAAGGCACCTTCGACTAACCTCGTTCTTTAGCATCTTATAGCAACATTTGACTCATATCGTTAGCCACATTCCTCTGGATGTCAGTATGAAAAAAAAACATCGATATAACAAATGCCTCATTTTAATGCTAATGCTTTGCGAAAGTCGACCTTTCACCTTAACATTTTAAGGTTATATCTGCATAGCTACATTGGCTGGATACAGGTGGCACTTTGACGCAACCGTGCTGCAAACTACGACCTCGACGGGTCTTAGATATTACATACCTAGTTGACGGCAAACTAATTCGTATCGACATTGTACTTAATTTAATACTTACATGTCACGTGGAGTTAATATACTCGAGTTGTCGAGATAAGTAATTGATGTCCACAAAATGACAATATCAATATGACATTGATTTACTGTCAATATCGTAACATACATTTCTCAATATTTGTCTTCGATAAACAGCCAGACGAGTATAATAAAACTGTAACTAACCCATATTTGTGCAGCGCTTACATCGCGCAAAAACTACTGGACGGACTTCACTGAAGTCTGTGGTGACAACAGTATCGTGGTCAACGTAATTAACTCTTCAATTCGCTCGACTCAAAGCTATAAATATAAACTGGTTTCATGTTGAAACTATTCTTAATTTTTAAGATATAATTATAACAACATGAGTAGATATACAACAAATGATTAAATTAGAATTTCTAGATAATGGTATCTGAACTAATACCTTTCATTGATGGAATGCGAAAAAGAAAACAAAACCCGCCATTTATGTAAATCAACAAGCTGCCACTACGACTTATGCTAACAAACAACATCTCAACAACATACACATGTGCTTTTAAGAAACCTTACTACAAAAACAAATTACCATATCTCCGATATTGAAAGCGAATTTTAGTATAGAAAGAAATTTACTATATTAATTTACAAATAATCATCTAATATATTATACAGCCTAAAGACGCAAATACTTATAAATCCATTTGAATTAAAGAAATTATCTGTACATAGATTATAAAAAAATCTATTGAATAAAAATCACATAATAACCATCAGAATTAGAGCATCTATCTAGTAATATCGACTAACTTAATAATACTCATATTTATCTTATTCAAACATTTTCTAGGTAGCTAAAAGCTGGGTAATGCAAATGTTATCTACGCTCGTTTCCCACTAGTACCCTGAAAAAGTCATTCTGCAGTCTAGACTCTAGACAACCAAATGCAAACTTCACTTTTGCAAACTCGAAAACTATCACGATAACTTCTGCGCTTTGCTAGTGATGATAATGCGGAGAGAAAATTAAATATCGATTTTTCAA